CGGAGCTCAATGCTACATTGTGCATGAACTATGGGTGATGGCTACCAAAACAGCTCCACTCCATCAACTGGGTGGAATACTGAAATTGAAAAGCATCTTGAGAACTATTACATGACTAGAGAAAGAATTAAGCAAATATCATGGTTAAGTGCTGAAATCATTGCACCAATCGGCCTCTGCTTAAACTTTGTCTTTCTCTTCACAGTCATTCGAGTGAAGTCCATGCGTACAATTATCAACATCTACTTATCCAATCTGGCTGTGGCTGACTCCCTCCACCTTATAACTTACTTCATATATGCACTGTTTTCACCTATAAAGACCAACTTATTGGTCAAAAAGGCAATATCAAGTGTCCGATGCACGTTCCTTGCTACTTCTAATTTCTTTGTGGTTACCATAGCGGCTGAGAGATTCTCGGCAGTACGCAATCCTTTGACATTCAAGGAAAAAGCCTCTAAATCTCGGGCAGCAAAGATATCAGCAGGACTCTGGGTGCCAACAATTATTGTTGGTGTGATTATGATTTTCTTACCATTAACATATGCTGTCTTCACTAAAGTCTACTTTGGGATTCTTTCCATTATCAACATTGCCTCTTTGATAGCAACTCTTACTTTGTACATCTATGTAGTACTGAAAGTGTGCAAGCAATCAGCCCTGTTTCCGAACCGTCCCAAGCGAGCAGGCAAGGTCCTCTGCATGGTTATCATCAACACTGCTGTTTTCTTCATTCTGTACTCACTGTACACTGCAGCTGCAATTATGACCATTCATGGACTTGTAGTGGCATCAAAGTTTACTTCACCTGCTCAGATTGTTGCCTATCTGGAACTTGGAGAGACAATACATATTCTGACTAAATGCATTGAAATTTTGCAACTAATCAATAGCTCAATCAATTCCCTAGTCTACAGTGTCACAAACGCTGACTTTCGTAAAGCTGTAGTCAAGGCTTTCTCATTCCTCAAACTGTGCTGTCGTTGCTGCCCAAGACGGAATTCCAGCCGACCATCGCAGCCAGGGAAGCAGATTGAGCTTCATGTGATTCCACAGGCAGAAAATGACCAAGAGCACCGTGCTGCCAGGCCAAGCAAGCCACCAAGCCAAGGGCATGCACAACACACAGCGAGTCAGCAGTCACTGGACAGCTGTCAAGAACAATGTTGCATGCAATGCGACAGCAAGGCATCCATGCACAGTCAGCAGCATCTTCAAGTGCATGTTGAGGTACATGCAGAACCAGCAGGGACCCCAGCGCTTGCAAGTTCTCATCAGGAACAATGCTCTAGTCTGACTGACTGCAAGCCATCCATGCAAGGGGAACAGTGTGTACATCCAGAACCAGCAGAGAGCCAGCAGTCACTTGCAAGTACTCAGGAACAATGTCCTGGGCTGACTGGCACCGAGCCATCAGCACAAGGGCAGCAGTATGCACATCCAGAACCAGAAGGGATTTAATCTTTGGAAAGTTGTCAAGAACAATGTTCACTGGTACCTGATAAGTGCAAGCTGTCTTTAAGGGCAGCAGTGTGTAGAGTGAGTGCTGCTTTTGAACTTGCTGCGTTCAAAGTGTAGAGCAGATTTAAGGCCGTTTCATACATCTTCTTCATTGGAATGCCAATTAAGTAGATTTGACATCGAGAAACATCAACAACACAATATGCTGGAGTTGAAATGTGTTTTACTTCAGCGAATTGCCAATACATGTACGCACCATGACATCAGTAATGTGCAGGCCCGCCCAGAGCAGATTGCAACCAACTATCAGTAAAGGGAACAGCTGGTATTCATGCAATGTATGTATGTAAAAGGTTCAGAAATTAACAAATCCCAAATAGTTTAATAATTTGAATCAAACTTTTGTTCGTGTTTAAAGGTAGAGTAGATCATTTGCAGCTATCCAAAAAGTAACTGACAAAATTATTGTTAAAAGGCTTTTGGTTTTAATGGCACTAAACTCCCTGTGAAATCATTCTTTCTGGCATGCTGTCATTATGAAGGAAACAATGAAAAAAAGCAATTTCCAACGATGCATCATGTTAGTTCATGTAGTTGGTTAGTAAATTCGGTGAATCCATGAATATGTGCGCGCAAGCGTCGACACGACGCACACGCACACTAGGTTGCTATTATTCGTCAGTTCAGTGCATGACATCGCGTAGCTGCAATTGACTGAATGAGAATGTGTCCCTGGGGCTGAATTCGGATGCAATACAAAACATGACTCAGCAACTTTTGAATTGAACCTGAGATCCTAGAGTATATGTTTGGAATATACTGCATTCACAGAGCTAAAAATTCATCGTGTTAGTTGTTAGGCCAAAAAAAAAAAAATCTCCGGTTTCTGGTATGGAGCTTGTCCAAAAAGTGGTGCGGCAACTTTTTTTTTTTTACTTGACTTTTTTGCTTCAAATGTCGACTGGATGACTGCAAATGGTGCCCGACTAAACTTAGTGCAAATATATGGGAGTTCAGAGAGGCTATATAAAGCTTATTCTCGATCATAACCCCATTTAAAAACACGTTAAAATTGTGCAGCAGCAGAATTCCAGTCAAACCAGTGAGTTTGGCGGTTTTGAGACATCATCTTTCATTGAAAAAAAAAACGTTTTCATTTTGCCGACGCGCATGGCTACGGCGACGGGCGCGCATACCAGAAACCGGAGACTTTTTTTTTTGGCCTTAAGCACCCGTTTTTAGATTTTGAGCACTTTCGTTGTTTCAAACTAAAAAAAAATGCACAAATGACAAAATGATCTACCCTTCCTTTTAATGAGCTTGTTGGTTACTTTTTTCAGTGTGACAATGTACATGTGTTGGTACTAACATATGGATAACCCTGAAATTGTTCACTGTAAATAAAGGTTTTTTTAAAGTGCCTTTGAAACAGATTTTGAGGTTTTTATTTTAGGAACTATATTCCAAGTCTTTGGATGTTTCAGGCTTTAAAAATTTGTATGAAGTTCCATATTCATGAGCAATACAGTGATGTCATGAGCTGGAACTTCAGTGTCACTGCTGTTTGAGGGGAAAATAATGTTAAGAGAAGTGTTTTGATCAAGTTTGATGTGACTGTTACGTTCATTAGCACGTATACATGTACGATGCAGCCAGTGAGATACTTAAATGTACAAACTTTTACACATGTACAATGCAATGAATTTTAGGTTCATAAATTATACAGAAAATCCCAAAGCTGTCAAGTGTAAAATACCTAAATCAACATCACAGCAACATTAGAAACAATTGTGAACATGTGCACGGGCATTGCGAAAAAGTGTGCGTAAAATGTGGTCGTTACTTTCATACAAACACAGGGCTAGGATATTTCATGTTTTAGTGAAATTCACTTTACAGCCTTTTGATTCTGTTATTAACAGACCTTGACAAATCCCAAGCGTGGAGCACAATACATACATACTCCTAAAAAGGCACAAACTGTATGGTTATTGTTATTGAGGGTTCAATGTTAAGGGAGCAAACTCACCACAAATCCAAAATGTCTTGGGAGGTTTTGGATCTCAATCTTGAAGATCTCTGAGGTGAAAAGCTGTTGTGTCAGATAGTGATAAGGATCCGTTATGGCAGCGCCAGTCACCGGTACGTCAGAGGTGCTGGTGGAATGGTTATCTTGTGGGTCAAGACCTGATGGACAAATGAACAGATTAAAAAAATTGATATGGCTAGAGCTATATTGTCTAGGTCTTCACCCAAAACAGTTACATGGGAACAATCTGACAATAGCCGTAGCCATAGCTCTAGAAACGCGTTTCAGACACAGCCTAAGTAACAGATCAACAAAGTTGCAAGTTATGCATTAGGAGCATCTGATTCCAAATGTATACCAATCTTTGTGCATACATGTTGCACAATGTGGATAACTTTTTTTGAAGACCAAATAAAGTGCAGTTTTTTTATTTGAAGTATCTTGAAACATCCTTTAGCAAGGAGAAATCCAGGGTATAGACTTTTTTGTTGCAGAGCACAGATCTAATATGAGACAATTGTAGGCTTTAGATGTACAGTATGGGATTTAGGTCTGGTGTATTAAAGGTGTCATCACAGCTACTAGCTGGAAAAAAATGTAGTTGATAGTTAAAGTCAGCAATTTGTACTCCACTTCTGTCAATAGAGCGTGCAAGTTGACCTCAAAAACCTAGGTGATTTTACTAGGTTTATCCAGTCAAGGGCAAAGAATGGGTTCTGAACAAGAAAAAAATCATTCCAATTTACAACACATTCAAAAAATATTGCAAGTTGATTACTATAGTAAATTTTAAAAAAATGTTGACCTCCACTTCCGTTCATTGGGTGAATTGGGTGAATTATTCAAAGACGGGAGTCTGTGGCTAGACTAGTCAGTGTTTGGTACCAAGATGTTCACATGAAAAGTGAATGTGAACTGGCGAGACTTGCATGCTCTATAATTGTACATAATCTGTGTAGCACCACTAGTCTGTTGTATTACATTATGAGCTCCATGTCTGTATGATGTTTAAATGCAAAGCAATATTCTAATATTTCTTTTAGATGGACTCAAGGGTACCTCGAATTTGGGTAATTGAAAAATCAATGCTGTAAAATATGAATGTCGTTGTAAAGTTAGCATCATACAAGATGTATCTTAATTTGCACAGTATCCGAGGAATTGCTGCTTTTTATATGTTCATTAAAGCTGCTACATGTATTTCCTTGTGTAATTTAACACTCTAAACACAAATAATACAGAAATGTACTATCACCAAATCGGTGTTTGAGCTCTTACATCTTTCTGATACCTAGTAATATTTGAAAAAACAAATTGCAGGGCAAACCATGTTTCTAAAAGTCACATACATTTTATAGGACAAACAAATTTGCGTGTAAAAGCAAGAGCAGTGTTAAAATAAATAAAAGTGTACACTAGCAACATTTAAACAAACAGTGATTTTCCTGAATTTTGTATTTAAACCTAATTCTTGCTTGTACAAATGTAATTGTTGAAAAATCCCTACTGAGTAAAAGAGCTTGCTGGTCAATGTTGAAAGTACAAACATATACCCGCAATATTCATGCCACAAAAGTAAGTCAACATATTGGTTAGCAAAGGGGATGACAAGGGTTTAAGTCTTTTGTGGCTTGTTTCTTTCTTTTCAATAATTAATTCCTGACAGACATAATAGAGAATGCACAATATGTACACCTGTCAATCTTTCTGTGTGTTGCATTCTGATTGGTTGGAGTTGATCAGCATTAGCTACTAATAGGCCACGCCCCTCGACAGCCGATCTAATCAAACATGAAAGCTGATCTACGTCTTTTACCAAAATGAAACTTCAGAGGAAATACTTACCTTTGTAAGCGCCAAGCCGGAAACCAACAGTGTTATCTGTCAATGAAAATAAGAAGACATGAAACTGAAACTTTTTGCACAATTTATCCAGGGCCAAGTTTCATGAAGACCTGACAAAAAAAATTAGGGGAATAACTGAGAAAAAATCCTGGAACTTTCTGTTCAGCTTTCATAACAGGTGCATTAAGTACATGTGTGCACACTTTATATCCAGGCGAGGGGGTACTTGTGAACGGAGCGCATACATACAAAAAAATGAAGAGATTGCATAAATAAAAATAAATGCCAGTTTCACTCACCGATGCCATCTACACTCTTGCCGATGGTAAACTCACACTTGTTGTCATAACTCTCTAATACTGGCTGTAAGTGTGCAAACAAACAATGAAAATGAAAGGAACAAATCAGACATCTCCAATGTCAGGAATATTTAACCCACAAAAGATTCACATGCTGTATAGTTTATCTAACAAGAAATCCAGGTTGAAATATAAATTTAGTACAAGTAAGGTGACTCTATCTATCTACCCGAGTTCAAAGATCACACCAGTCAAGCTAACCTAACACTATGTGCCAATGTGAACTATCATTGAGATTATAATTCATAAAATCATTCACAATACTACAAATAAATTTAAATAAATTCTATATTTTTATCAACAAATATTTGTCACCTAGCTTAGTCACCGATGGCTTAATTGGCTGCAACTCACATTCCATCCCACTGTGGTTCTTCCTGTCAATCAAATGAAGAGTGCGCTATTAAACATGAGGGTGTGGGTTCGAATCCCACTCCAACAGGCTTGTGAATTTCTTGTGGTAACCAAAGCTATATATGCACAAGATTCAAACTGGCCCACTAACCTTTGCAAGCTCTGTTATTGAGTAGTGAAGATGTCTGCACTAGTAAGCAGGAGGTCATGGGTTCATATATCCCACCCAAGCAAGCTTGCAGAATCTTTGCTCGTAAGCTCTCAGACAGCACTGAATATACAGTGCATTCAAATTCAAATTTACATTGGTGAAGGTCAAAACCAGGTATTCACATTCACAACTCCCCTATGTAAACAATTAATTAAACTCATTGATTGTGGCACCTGCTATATCAGATTGGGACCAGCCAGCCAACCCCAGCAAGCCTGATGGTCAAGTAGTTGAGACATCTGCACTAGGAAGCAGGAGATTGTTGGTGCGAGTCTCACTCGAGCTGCTTATGAATTGTGAAGTTTTGGTTGTGTGTTCATTTTTCTGCTTTTTGTTTGTAAACATTTTTTTACCAACTCCCCCCCCCCCCCCAGAAAACTGTGTCTGGAAACAGTTTTTTTGTCAAGGAACATCACAACCATCCCGTGTCTTTGGCGGGTAGCTCACCTTTGTTGCTTCAGCCAGGGAGACATCTCCCCAATGTTCCGTTGCAGCATCTTGGATAAATTCCTCAGAAACTCCCTGGTGTTGGTCTGTTTGGTGGACAGCTGGTCCTCATACGGCTGGTTCCACAGTGGAGTCACCATGTTGTTTAACCTGTAGATTGGGAAAAGATGTGAAAAGCACATTCAGTATTCCAGAGTCTTAACAAATTTTCGAAAAAGTGCATAGCTCAACTGCTCTAAGCCTTTTGCGATATGGCAGACACAATACAAGGGTGTTATTTGATTTGGGTATACTGGGGTAACTTATGCAAAAGACTAGACCTAAACCAAATAGCGCCCTCGTATTGTGTCCACCGTATCTCCAAAGGGTAATGGATTGTGTGTGGAACTTGTTATCTTTCTACATACATCCATTCTCCTAACTACAGTTCATAGTTCTGGTAGTGCATGAGCAAATTAAAGATTAAGCTTGAAACAATGAGGGTAATGTGTTCAACTTAGACAGTTTATCAGATAAAATAAGAATCATCTGAAACTGTGAATCGCACACACTCTACATAGACATGCAACCTTTAATGCTGTACCTTCTAGGAAAAAAACAAGGAAAACTGTCCACATAACAGTTTTACTCAACAAATGCCGGATGAAGTACTAAATTTACTTAAAGTTCCGTGCTATTTTCGAGTTTCATCCCGATAAACAGATTTCTTTACCAATCTGCTATTTTTCAAGCAATGCAAAAGTTATTCACTTTTGAATGAAACACCAAACACAAAAAAGCTCACGTTCAGTTATTGAATTATTACTTTACAATTCCAAATTATTGGCTGCCAAACATAATTTCTGTTCTTGCTGGATAGGCTGGTACCCCCCCCCCCCCCCCCCCCCCACAATCAGTATCAATAATGTACGGACGGGAGCCAATCTGTTGGCAAAGCTGGTCATCAGTTTGGGCCAAGAACAAAAAGAAAAGTTCATGGGTAATTTCTTAGTATAACATTTGATAGCAGAATTCAAAGTACACTTTCAATTTCAAGCAAGAGAGTGTAGGAATTCCATGGTTTCAAATCTTTGTCGATGCAGTGACTATTTGTATCTGTATTTTAAATGTCTTTCTTGATTATCCAAACACCAAATCTAAAGCTTGTGTCAAGTTTCTATATGTGAGATATAAATAAATATGTTGTAAGCAAAATGTAGTGAACGACCTGAAAGATTTTGTGTCATTTTTTGATCTGCATCTAATTTTATTCAGTTATAGATAATTCAAGCGTTACATTATGTCTGTGATCTTTTATGAGCTGTAAAACTCTGTAAAAAGTGCAGAGTGCCATTTCACTTTTTTTTAAGTAAGCTAGATATGAGCAAAACCTTAGTGACGGATTACACAATGTACATGTAAAAAAGTCTTGAAGAGAAAATAAAAAGTTATTCTGAAGCACATCTATGCCAAAGTCAACTGTGAAACTCTATTGTCTACTTTGGTTTAGTATGCATTCAAAACAAGGAACAAAGAACTAATCCTTACAAATCTTAGAGATAAAAAAACACTAAGGGGAAAAAATGCAGAAGCTTTTTGTTTCAACTACACATTGCTCCAGGTCTTATATTCGCTGTTAGTATAAAACTGGAGTGATCTTGAAATAGGACAGAACACTCTTTGCTGCATCTGAATAAAATGTTGGATATGGAGAACGATGAAGGTGAAAAGCACCTTGAGAACTTTATCAAGACTCACAAAAGAAATTAACAAATACAATGGTTAAGTGCTGAAATCATTGCACCAATCGGCCTCCTCTTAAACTTGGTCTTTCTCTTCACAGTCATTCAATGCGTATAATCATCAACATCTACTTGTCCAATCTGGCTGTGGCTGACTTGCTCTTCCTTATGACTCAATATATATTTGTATTGTGTTCATCCAAAGTGTACAAAGCATTCCAGAGTGTCAAATAAATCCTGGGACATACCGTTATTTCGTTTTAATACCGTTATGGATTTCCTCAAAAACAAAAACAGTAAACGAACCATTGACCGTTTTGTTGTTTTACAGTTTTATTAAACGACAAACAGTATTAAGATAAATACGGTTTCTCCGTTTTATAAGTTTAGTAAAATTCATTATAGCATAACAATTGATTATTTTTGTTTTACAGTTTTACACAAATAACTTAGAAAAACAGCAAAACGGTCAGTATTGAATACACAGTTTTTTTATTTTAGTGTCATAGTTAACAGTCCGTGGTGCATTTTGTGGCGGTGGGCAAGGGGTTGGAGGGGGACCCTGCTTTACACGAGTGTTGGCTCGGCATAATTAATGCGTGGTGTGATTCCTGGCGCGGACCCTGACCCCCTTCTCATGCCATTCAGTTGGTGGGGCTTAAAGAGTTGCAAGCAAAAATGGCGCTGGAAAACTGCAAGGGAGGTCATTACTTTTCACAATGGATACAGGATGGTAAGACGTTTGATGAAGTTGCAGATATTTTGAAGGAAATTGGAGTTTAAGTCGACGCGGCTCTTCAAAAGGTAATTCGCAAATTCTGTCGTGAGAACGAAAATGTAAGGAGGGCCCAGGCAATGACTCGATCCCAAGGACGTATTAACATTTCTAGGTGCATTGCTTAATTGCCTAACCTAAATCAAAAATTGGTCGGCAAGACTATTGACCGTTTTGTCATAGTCATGATTTTGTAAAACAACACTCTAAAAATAAAGCAACTAACCGTTTAATGCTTTCTACAATTAAAAACAACAACAAAAAGTATTTTTTGTGTGTGACTTAATACCGTTTGACCATTTTACAAAACTGTAAAACGACAAAACGGTCAATAGTTCGTTCACGGTTTTTGTTTTTGAGGAAATCCAAAACGGTAAAACAAAATAAGGTATGTCCTGGGATTCAAATACATGTTTGTTGCTGTTTCTAGTTATTTTGTAGTGATCATAGCAGCTGAGAGATTCTTTGCAGTGCGCAATCCTCTGACATTCAAGGAAAAAGCCTCTAAATCTCGAGCAGCAAAGATATCAGCAGGACTCTGGGTGCCAACAATTGTTGTTGGTGTGATTCCGATTCCGTCTTTAAAAACATCATTTTTTGGATTAATTTTGTTACCAACACCACCTGTTTAGTAGCCACTCTTGCTTTGTACATCTTGGTAGTAGTTAAAGTGTGCAAGCAATCAGCACAGTTGCCAAATTGTCCCAAGTGAGCAGGCAAGCTCCTCTGTACGGTTATCATCAATACTGCCATTTTTTTTTCATTCTGAACTCACTGAACGTTTCAGCTGCAATTATTTATACTCTGGGAACAACTTATACTTTGCCTGCCCAAGCTATTGAATATCTAGAACTTGCAGAAAATCTTCAGACTTATCAATAGCTCAATTAATTCCCTCGTCTACAGTGCTGACTAACACTGACTATTGTGCAGCTGTAGTCAAGGCTTTCTCATTCCTCCAACTGTGCTGTCGTTGCTTCCCAAGACGGAATCCCAGCCGACCATTGCAGCCAGGGAAGCAGATTGAGCTTCATGTGATTCCACATGCAGGCAGAAAATTACCAAGAGCGCAATGCTGCCAGGCTAAGCAACAGCAAGCCACCAAGCCAAGGGCATGCACAACACACAGCGAGTCAGCAGTCACTGGACAGCTGTCAAGAACAATGTTCCTTTTTCTCAGTGCTTGCACACGTGGTACACAACGCATTGATATTCGTGTATGAGGCAACTTTCTCTCAGGAGGTGAAGCCCCTGTCACACGGTCTGCGATCTTATGTGCGCTCTTACTGCGTCCTTGAAAAATAGCTGGAGCGCAAAAACAACTAGGGCAATTCCACGGTAACGGAAGGACGTTTTCACTCATTAAACAAAATTTCAAATGTGTGTGTTACAGACACTGTTCATAGTTACAGCAAACAAATGTCACAATTGTATTGCTATAATGCTACTTTCATTTTCCACACTTTTGGGGGGCATGAATGCCTCCCGTTTATGAATTATGAATATTAATGAGGTCGGTAACGGAAGGACGGTAAAACGGACAAGGGTTTTCCAACTTACTCGCGTTTTGCGTAAACTCTGTGAATTTTATGGGGCAATTATATTTTAAAGGTAGGAAATGGAATCCCTGAAGCTTTATCTATACTATACCGCCTTTCATTTGACTTTAAGTGTTTCGGTAATATAATTACAACGTTTTAAGCAGATTATAATTTGGTAACGGAAGGACGGTAACGGAAGGACAAAAGGTTTACTCAATTATAGCATGAACAAAATGTGAATTTACACTAATTATACAAGTGAAACAAATTGCTGAAATGTGTAACTGAATGTGAAATCAACAATATGCAGACCTGGCATAAATAATTATACCCAAGAAACTATTGAGATAAAGATAGAAGCCTGCTAATTAATGATAACAAAAGAAAAACGAAAACAACCCAAAACACATAATTCACGAACACAGGACTACTACAGAAATAGACTTCAAACCCATCACCTCAATCCTTAAAAGTTTAAATACACAGTATTTGAACTCTTGAGTATATTGGTTACATGTTCACCAACAACTTTTAATAATAATACCGGTAGGTTCAAAGGTTTACCTAAAGGGTGGGGGGGGGGGGGGGGGGGGGGGGCGACCAGCCTACATGTACATTTAAGGTAAAAACATCTACCGGTAGAACTGATGGCTTCAGTTAGGTGTTGCTTTTAATTGAACTCTAAAATCAATGTTTGAAATCAAATTACAATGATTTAGAGTAGTAACAATTAATTTATAAACATCCAAACTGAAATTGTTAACTTGGGAATAATTTGTCAAAGATTGCACCTCACATGTCTTACACATGTAAATTGAATGAAAGTGCCCCAAAGTACCGGTACTTTCTGCCATCTCATTTTTGACTTAATTTGCTTCTGGAATGGCTTCACAGAATTCGTATCTTTCTCTGTTGTCCATGAATGCTGATGGCAGCAACTTTATGATTTGATTTTCTGCAACAACTCCATACATGTACAAGTACTGGTACATCGGCATATATGTACATGTACATTGTACATGTTGTACATGCCTGTGCCTTCCTTTGTAATAAACACCTTGCCCTGCTTATCCCGCTTTTGTGAAGGTGGGTCACATGAATGTCCTTTCAATG